TGGTGAGATTAAAAGTACTGCCTCTGGAGTAAGGTTGGATTTAGGACCTGATCCTATACCAGCTAGGTGTGTGCAAGTGGGAACTCATTCAGAATCTTCCATGAACTTAAACACACATAGTCAGTGCATTATTTAAAAGGCCCCATCTTTACATTGTCTGTTCGCTGTCAAAGGGCAAACCCCATTTTGGCCTGCTTGTAGGGTTTGGAATTCCTAACAGTCCAGAAAGGATGATTTTAGTTGTAGTAGCTGGCTATAAAAAAGAAATCACTGAGCCGTTCCATCCCACAAGGCTGGATAAGCAACACAGTGCTAAAAAGTTACTTGTTTTGGGGAGACACTGGTTACTCTTAAATCAGGGTAAAATAACTTACACCAGGAATCCAGTTTCCCAAGAGGCATGCAACTGTTTAAAGGGATATATTTAGCAAGGCTCAAGGGGTATTGAGTGAGTGCTAATGTGGGATTCCAGTTTAGGAGACAACTGTTCAAGCCATTTAAGGTAGAAAGCAGGGCAGAAATAAGGTTCTTGTTTTTTCTTGGAATGCATTGTTTTTTCTAAAGTGTGAAATTAGCCCCTGAAAGAGATCCAGTCTGTCTCATTACTGTGATATTCTTTCCCGATTCATCAAATTCTCTAGAAAGGGCTTTTGAGTGAAAGTTGAATGTTTTTCCAAAGAGCCAGCTGTTGCTAACCAAGAGCTTCTTTGCATTCTCTTTTAATGTAAGCTGCAAAAGCTGCCTGGGACACTTTTTTTACATCCTATCTTTGCTGTAATCCCACCACCTTGGGAGATTGAGGCGGGAGGATTGCTTGAGTTCAGGACCAGCCTGGGCAAGAGAGCAATGATCCTATCTCTTCAAAAATAAAATTAGCCAGTGTGGTGGTGCACGCCTGTAGTCCTAGCTACTCAGGAGGATCATCTGAGCCCAGGAGGTCAAGGCTGCAGTGAGCTCTGATCATGTCACTGCATGCAGCCTGGGTGACAGAGCGAGAGTGAGACTCTCTCAAAACGAGAAAAACACTTTGATGCTGAGGTTAATGGAGTTTTAAAAAAAAGGTGGCTGGGCATGATGGCTCATGTCCGTAATCCCAGCACTTTGGGAGGCCCAGGCGGAAGGATTGCCTGAGCTCAGGGGTTTGAGACCAGCCTGAGCAACCTGGCGAGACCTCTACAATAAAAAAATTAGCCGGGCGTGGTGGCATGCACCTGTAGTTCCAGCTACTTGGAAGGCTGAGGCAGAAGGATTGCCCGAGTCTGGCAGGTCGAGGCTGCAGTGGCCGTGAGCGTGCCCTGCATTCCAGCCTGGGCGACAGAGTGAGACTCCAACTCAAAAGAAAAAGTTTCCCACTAGGCATGCCAAGCCCGATTCCTGGCTAGCGTGATTTACTGTCCCCACCCACGGCCCCACTCACTTGGCGCCAGTGGTGCCCCCACCCCAACCCCCGGACCCCAGCTCCAACGCAACCTTGTCCCTGTTGCAACCGTTCTCTGTGCTCCCTCCCGGCTGGCCGCGACATCCTCCTCATGTCACTCTTGCACTTGCCGTACGCCTTGGCGATCACCGATCCCTTGAAGAAGGAACCCGCCAGCTTTCAGAGGGGCCTCCAGCTGCTTACAGAAGGCATGAGACAAAAACCAACACAAACCAAAGCACACGAGAGAAATGCTCACGGACGGTTTAACTTTAACATTTTATTTTGTGTAAAAAAAGGGCAAATTTAGTGAATTATTTTCATCTTGTACACAAAGTTATAATTTTAATGCTTTTCACATCCATGCTGAAAATTTGCAATTTGGTAAAAATGAAAGGAACATAAATTTCTCCAAAGGAATTTTTCACGCCATTTTATATATATACACTTCATGAGAAAGTTTCAAACACTTTCTCAATGATCACGAGTTACCAAGAAAATAAAAGATTAAATTTGTACAGATATTGATCTATATATCAAATACATACAGAAATGATGTAAAAACCTTATGCAGTTTACTTTGACCTCTGTCCTCAAAAGATTTGCCCAGGGACAGATACTTTTGTATAAATGACTGTGGCTTTATTTAAAATATGAAAATCAAAGGAAGAAACCCAGTTTAATCACAGTATTTTTAAAATCCCTTCCCAATATTAAAGGATCATTACCAATATATAGCACCATAATACAAATATTGATGGGAGAGGGCATTCACATCACGCAAAATTAATAATAATAAAAACAAACAAACACTGAAAACCCGTGTTAGTATCCATAGAATAAGAAGTTGATAACAGCTTTAGCTTTCCTCATACACAGCAAGGAAAAGGTTAAAGAGTTTAAACTACCAAAAGTCCTCAAATAATCCTAACATGTAAAAAAAAAAAACAAAAACAAACAAAGAACCCAGAAACAAACCCAAGGTCAGCAGTACATTTTGAACCGTAAGAGAGAATGGGGCTACTGAGTTGTACACTTGGAGTTATGGCTAAGACAGAAATCTCCTCTGCGCTGACTTCTGTTCTGTTCTGCAGCAGGAGGAGTTAGAGTATGAACAACGAAGAGGGCTTCCGGTTGTGTGAGACTGCAGACAGTGCTTACCAACCTTGACCTGCTGGCCACAGGATCAAGACGCAACACTTCATGAACAGGTGGGAAACTCTAAAACACTCAGCGCCTGGCTTTGCTGTAGGACTGGAAGCTTATAAAACCTGGCTACAGATGAGCTTTCACAGAACTGATAACCAGGACTGTTAGGCTCCGAATCAGCTCTCTCCTGGTTTATTCAGTTCCCCGCGGAGCCCCCAAGCCCACGGGACTGGTAGAGTACACCGAACCACAGGCTGCGTGTGCCCGGGTCGTGGAGTCAGAGTCCTGGGTTCAGTTCCGTGAACCTGAGAATAAACACTGCGGTAACCCTTGCTGTGGACGCTTCTAGGCTTTAGGTTTACGGGAAGAGTCTTCAAAGTGATAGATTTGGGAAGTGTGAGGATGTCACATTTACAGTAGGTCCCTCTCAGCAATGTTGTTTAAGATAAATATCCAGTAATTGGACAGCTGAATTCACATATATTTGACACATGAGCATCAATCAACTTGCGTTGATGTGATTCTGCATTTATGCCCCTAAAGAGTCAGTATTAAGAAATGGTGACATGCGATTCCATACATTCTTACACTATAAAGTAACAAATCTTACTTCCAGTAGCTATTACAAAACCTTATGTTATTAACCCCTCTTGCATAGAATGAGGTAAACCTGTGCGTATTACCAATGCTATTATTCCCAAAAGTAGAACAATATTTTAGAAAATAAATTGCTGGTTTTTAACGTTCTATGCATTTTAAAATTCAAACAAAAATCTTAGCTAAAATGGTCTCCTGGGGCTTTTCCATGAACTTTTTTTAAAGCATTCCATAGGCTGACGGACTTTAGAGGTTAATCATTTTGATTAATTTCTAATTAGCCCGACCTATATTCCAGAGGAGATGGTCATTACCACTCTGAAGTGGCCAGGCTAAGACCCAGAAGCACTTCTAGAACAGATGCAATTAATTCCTGAGAGTTGAGTTTATGAACCTCACTGGTAAACGCTAGAGCGCTCTCATTCAGTCACAACTCAGTAGAAAGTTAGAAAACACAGAGAGCAAACCTTTCACCTATGTACCCTTGGATCCTTTTCTTAAAAGGAAGCCATGTGAATTTTAAACAGGGAATGTTTGAAATGGTCCAAATCAGTCATTATTAAAATAAATTCTGATAATTCATATATATATGGAATTTCAAGAAAATTAAATTCTCTTTCAAATTAGTTTTCTAACAAATCTAGGATAGTTAAAAGCTGAGCTGGAATGATTTTGAAATCTTATTCTGGCTTTGAACAACTGTCAATTTGATTCTCCTGGTAACACAGAACACCTGTTTTGGGGTGTGGACATACCAAGTTGTTGACTGGAGGGAAATGGCTGAGAACTGATCAGAATACCTTTTGTGGGGTATTTTTTTAGAAAGTAAAATAAAATAAACTTAGGACAATATTGCATTTTCTCCAACCCCTTGGCATGTAGACTGAGATCCTGTGTATCTTGTCAACCATTCCAGTTTAACACTTTAGTGTTAGGATAATTTTAGTCATTTTTTTCTTTTTTTAATTAAAAGAGAACATAGAAAAGTATCTAGAGTTCTTCCAGTTTCATCTAGAACTCCAAATAAATTTTCACAGAATGAAAAACATTTCTGTACAAACATTTAAAATGGGCTGCAATAAAATGCCAACAAGCAGAATTAATGACCCCTTTCATGGTCTATGTGGTGATGAACCCTCCAGGAGGGGTTCAGTTGCATATTTCTGCAGCAAAAGAAGCTGGAGATGTGACTGGCCTAACTTTAAAATCCCAAAATCTCCCAACAGGTACCAAAAAGGTTCATTTGTAATGACAGTTCATTTGCATTTACAGCTATAACCTTCTTAAAACATTTCCTTCAATCCTGCACCTAAACTTTAATCTTACCAAAAAAGTTAGAATTTCAGTTCTTGTTAACAATGCACATAAATCCAAACTTGGAAAATATTACAAAATTCTTTCAAAAGCTTCAAATACAACACAAAAATTGTCCATCTTTATAAACTGAAAAATTTCCCCCCCGACTAAAATAGTTTCCCCACCCATCTGAAAAATCTGGAACTGAAATTGTCTGTATTTAGCAAAATGTCCCAGTAGAAGGGCCCCCTGTACAGCCGGATCGGTTAGAAATCAGTCCTGTGTAAAATCCTTCCCCTCTCGCCCTCAGCTGGAGCCGTGTCATGGCTCTTGTTTGATGTAGAAATTGGCAGAGCCATTGCTTTCCTGATCAGACGCTCCCTGGAGGAAATTATAATCCTCTCCATCCAGTAACTCCTCCTTCAGCTGCAGCGTAGTCACTGAACGAGAGAGAGAGAAGCATACGGGGTGTTAGGCCTTTCTGGAATATTCAGATTGCCATACTCTTCATGTTCTATTAGCTTTACAGTTAATAAGACTTCTGCATTTCTTCAGTAACTCTTAAAATCAAACCCCTCAAGTCTGAGCATTCAATTAACTTTAACTTACAAAGTATATTATCAGTTAAGAAGTGTTCTGCAAAGGAACAATACTCCATACTGGACACTTCATGGTGGACATCTTCCATGAAATGTTCAATATAATAGTACTTATTAATTGGACTAGAATAATGAGAATTCTGCTTATAACTTAGTATTCACTTTTATGTGTTTATACAAACCATGCAGTATTTCTTGCATGGTTCCAAAATACAATGTTTATGTATTTTTATATTTTATTTTTTTGAGTTGGAATCTCACTCCTTCACCCAGGTGGAGTGCAGTGGCATAAACATCCAGGGCTAACCCAGCACTGACCTGCTGGGCTCCAGCGATTACAGGCTGAGCCACTGAGCCTGATCCTTTTTTTTTTTTGGAGCCAGAGTCTCACTCTATTGCTCAGGCTGAAGTGCAGTGGCATGATCCCGGCCACTGGAGCCATGACCTGCTGGGCTCAGGTGATCTATCCACCTCAGCCTTCTAAGTAGCTGGAACCCCAGGTGTGTACCACCACACCTGGCCAATTTTTTGATTTACTGGAGAGATGAGGTCTCACCAAATTGCCCGGGCTGGTCTCGAACCCATGAACTCAGGCAATCCTCTCACCTCGGCCTCCCAAAGTGCTGGGATTATAGGCGTAAGCCACCATGGCCAGCCAAATACAATCTTTAATAGGTTTCAGCACAATAAGTGACTTTAATATAATCTTATTATTCCAAAGGGTATCTTTATTAAAAAGACTCTGAAGAAAAAAGATCTAAATCTAATATTAATATACAACTATTAAAAGTAAAATAATCTATAATGCAAATTATATAAGCATATATTTTTATACATTTATTAAAAAAAAGTCTAAACTAAACTCCTCAGCCAGGTGCCCATGGTCTCAACTACATGTGAGGCTGAGGTTGAAGAGGGCAGCCCAGGAGTTTGAGGCTTAGTGCACTACGATGGTGACTGTGGTCAGCCACTGTGCTCCTCCAGCCTGGGCAAGACAGTGAGACCCTGTCTCTTAAAAAAACAAACAAACAATAAAACCCAAGAAAACAAAAAGACTCCCAACATTAAAATTAAAATTATGAAAAACTTGAGCAATGGTTTTTTTTTTTGAGTCGGATTCTCACTCTGTCATCCAGGTTGGAGTGTAGTGGCATACTCAGCCACCGCAGCCTCAACTTGCTGGGCTTAGGCTATCCATCTTCCTCAGCATTCCAAGTAGCTAGAAATACAGGCACGCGTTACCACACCCAGCTAATTGTTTGATTTATTGTAGAGATGAGGTCTTGCCAAGTTGCCCAAGCGGGTCTCGAACCCACAGGCTCAGGCGATCCTCTTGCCTCAGTGGCCTCCCAAGGTGTTGGGATTATAGGCATGAGCCACCATGCCTGGCCCACCCAGCCAATTTTTAAATCTTTTTGTAGAGGCGAAGTCTCACTATGTTGCCCAGGCGGTTGATAAGTGCTTTTTTTGTTTTGTTTTTTTTTAGTTGGAGTCTCATTCTGTCACCCAGACTAGAGTGAAGTGGCCGCTCCCAGCCACTGCAGCCTCGACCTGCTGGGCTCTGGCGATCCTTCCGCCTTAGCCTTCCAAGTAGATGGAACTACAGGTGCATGCTACCACGCCCGGCTAATGTTTTTGATTTATTGTAGAGATGAGGTCTCACTAAGTTGCCCAGGCGGGTCTCGAACCCACGGGCTCAGGCAACCCACTCACCTCAGCCTCCCAAAGCCGGGATTACAGGCTGAGCCACCGAGCCCGGCTGATAACTTGCTTTTTAATGAAAATAAACCAAACAACAGTAAAGGCAGTCCTCAATTTATAAATAGGCCATGTTTCAATAGGTCATTTATAAGGAAAACTGTTTTTCAGTTTCTAATATACACAAATACATTTTAAGACAGGATCTTACTATGTTGACCAAACTGGCCTTGAACTCCTGGCCTCAAGTGACCCTGGCTCTTGAGTAGTTGGCATGACAGGAGCATGCATTGGCCTCAGTTTCCAATATTTTAAGTGGGGTTTAGGTTTCATGCAAGTCAGAATTCTTGTGACAGAATGGCTCTTTCTATTGTATGAACCAGGAAGAAGGAAAATACATTTTATCTTTGCTGGGTCCCAAACTAGTCTTAGGCAAAAGCTTTCAGACATTTAATTCTGAGATTTTCTGATTTTTTTAAAAAAATAGATCCCTCATTACTGCCCCTCAGCACAGTTAACCTAGTACCATCACACTGCCCTGAATCCTCTGCCTGAAGCCTATTTTTCTTCTTCTTCTTTTTTTCTTTTTTAGTTGGAATCACTCTGTCACCCAGGCTGGAGTGAGTGGCATGCTCATAACCACCGCAGCCTCTACCTACTGGGCTCAGGCGATTCTTCCGCCTCAGCCTTCCAAGTAGCTGGAACTACAGGGATGCGCCACCACGCCTGGATAATTTTTGATTTTTTTTTCCATCGTGTCCAGCCTGAAGCCTATTTTTACCCCGAGAACGTCTCCCTCCAAAAACTTACTTCCTGGCCAGGCGCAGTAGCTCACACCTATAATCCCAGCACTTTGGGAGGCCAAGGTGAGAGGATTCCCTGAGCCCACGGGTTCGAGACCAGCCTGGGCAACTTGGCAAGACCTCATCTCTACAATAAAATTAAAAAAAACTAGCTGGGGATGGTAGGACATGCCTGTAGTTCCAGCTACTTGGAAGGCTGAGGCGTAAGGATTGCCAGAGCCCAGCATGTAGAAGCTAGGGTGGCCTTGAGTGTGCCACTGCACTCCAGCCTGGGCAACCGAGTGAGACTCCAACACAAAGAAAAGAAAAAAAAGGCCAGACTTGGTGGCTCAGCCTGTAATCCTAGCACTTTGGGATTGCCTGAGCCCGCGTCTCTACACTAAACACAAAATTAGCTGGGCGTGGTTGCACGTGCCTGTAGTTCTGGCTACTTGGAAGCCTGAGGCAGAAGGATCGCCAGAGTCCAGCAGATAGAAGAAGCTAGGGTGGCCATGAGCGTGCCACTGTACTCCAGCCTGAGAGACAGAGTGAGACTCCAATTCCAAAAAAAAAGTCAGCTTAGAAGAATTAAGTAGGAGTATCATCTGGGTGGGTAGTAGGCCATTCAAGTTCTTCATGCAAAAACACTAAAATGTCTACAATTTTTTTTTTTTTGAGTCTAGGTCTCACTGGAGTGGCGTGGCACAATTACAGCTACTGCAGCCTAGACCTGCTGTGCTCAGTAGGTCAATCCTTCTGCCTCCCTTCCAAGTAACTGGAACTACAGGCACACACCACCATGCCCAGCTAATGTTTTGATTTATTGTAGAGATAATGTCTTACCAAATTGCCCAGACTGGTTGTGAACTCCTGGATTCAGGCAATCCCCTCACCATGGCCTCCCAGAGTGCTAGGATTACAAGTGTGAGTCACCACACCCGGCTATGGCTACAACTTTTAAAGTCAAATGGTGCATTCACAGAAAAATATTTCATGTCTCGATTTCAGTTACAAATGGTCAGTTTAAAAATAATGGCCTCTGACATCTTAATTACTAATCCGAAGAACAGTCTTTTGAGAGATGACAATTCGTTTTATTTTACTTTGGTACTGGTTTTGGTATTGGTGGTCAAAAATTTAACAGCCCAGCAGTACATAGTGGACACTCTCGCTGCTGACTGCCCAATGTGCCCTTTACAATGTATCTTTCCTTTAATAAATCTACCACCTTCCTTTTTTTTCTTTTTGAGTAGTAGTCTCGCTCTGCCCAGGGTGGAGTGTGGTGGCACACTCAGAGCCACCACAGCCTTGACATGCTGGGCTCAGGTGATCCTTCCTACTCCGCCTTCTAAATAGCTGGAATCACATGTGTGCACCACTACACCCGGCTAACTTTTTTTTAAAGTTTTATTTATTGTAGAGATGAGGTCTCGCCAAGTTGTCCAGGCTGGTCTCAAAGCCCCGAACTCAGGCAGTCCTCTCACCTCCACCACCTATAAGTGCTGGGATTACAGGCATCAGCCATGGCGCCTGGATTACCTTTCATAATTCAAAAACAAACAAAAAAATGTAATAGCCAAAAGACAGAAAAGCGAACAGACTATGTATATAATAATGCAATACAATCACACTGTTGAAAAGTAAGGCAAAGAGGACTGTGCATTTCTTTAACAAATTACTTCATATAATAAAAATGCATTTACAGAGAAGAATATCAAATGTGTAATAGTTATCCTTCAAATCTAGCCAGCATGCATTAATTAAATGAAAGGAATATTTTAATAATACCATAAAAAGAAACACATGGAAAATAAAGCAAAACCCAAGTTTCATTAAAGGTGCAGTACCCACAATAAAAGGTTGATTGAAACAACATCTTGTTATATGATGATCAGATGGCTAAATGAATGAAAAAAAAATTACCATGCTTCAAGATCAGACATGTTCCATTCAAATGACTGGTTTTTTTTTTTTTTCATGTAAGAAAGAAATTTAGATTCTAAAGCACATTCTGAAGCTATTTGCATTTACTGCTTGCAACAAATTTCTGGAGTATGCTTCATGTTCAATGGAAATGATGTGCTTCAAGGTCAGCCAAGATAAAGGAGAAACATTCACTCAGATGTGGAATGTTTTAATGCAGTTTCATTACTTTCATGGCATCGAAAATAAAGCTCATCTGGTATCTTCACACTAATTATGTCCTCTTTCCAGGCCTTTTTCTTGATGAATGATATGGATGAAAAAACACAGACCCTGTGGCTGAATGTCAATTTCTATACAAGTGCATTTTCTTAGCTTCACTTTTAAAAGAATTCACCTTGATGACATTAATCACTAACACTTCAGGAGATAAGCTGA